AAAACGATCTTCGAGTTTCATAAAACGATCTCTCGAGTTTTATAAAACGATCTTCGGGTTTTATAAAACGATCTCTCGAGTTTTATAAAGCGATTCTCGAGATTCATAAAACTGTTGCGTTTACGCGTTTGCGGGGAATTTTGGCTATTGATTCCTCGTACCGATTTTGACCCCAACAGTTTTATAAAACGATTCTCGATCTTTATAAAACGATTTCTCGAGCTTTATAAAACGATTTCTCGAGCTTTATAAAACGATTTCTCGAGTTTTATAAAACGATTTTTCGAGTTTTATAAAACGATTCTCGAGCTTTATAAAACTGTTCTTTTTGTATTCTTGCGGAAAGTTTTGGCTATTAATTCCGTCGTACCGATTTTGACCCCAACAATCTTGTAAGTCCTCCTCTCCCACGAAAAAACCATCCCCCAGCCCCACATTATCCTCCATTTCCTGATCAAGCTCCTTTCCCTCATTAACCTTTACCATCGCAACGTCTGCAGGTACGCTGGAAGAAATCTCTCGATTCAGTGCAGCTCCCTGGCCAATGGGATCAGTTACTGACACTAAATTTCGATCTTCCTCCTCTTGGAGAACCTGCACATTCCTGTCCATCACCATTATCTCTCCCTCTTCCCTCTGCTCATCAGTTCTAGGGCGAGACGGACTTCTAACACTTCTGTCACGACGCTGGGACCACCTCTGCGCTTCCTGCTCCTCCCCTCTTTCTTGTGGACGTCGAAATTGACGGTTACGTGGTACTCCCTCCTCCTCCCTTCTTGATTTATGATCGGTATACGACCTCCTGCTACTCCTATCCGACCCCTGGACCCGTTTTGCCTCGTATTCCTCATATTTTTTACCTTTTCCTTTAACAATATACCCTGCAGAATCCTTATTCTTTTGGGAATGACTTTCAACGCCATTAGAGAGCACACCTCGATAACTCCTTGCTCCATCCTCTGCTCTAGCCTCTCCTGATCCTCTATTCTCTCTCCTTTGAATCATTGTTTTCACCTTTGTGGGGCAGTTATGAATGGCATGGCACAAGCTAGAGCAAAGATCGCAGCAACCAAATAGCTTGTCATACTTAAGAGAAACGTGAGCTTCTTGCTCCTCATAAAACTCACCTCCATTGAATGATAAAGTCGTATCAAAGCATAGCGGCTCACTACCATCAATGATCACACGAATCTTGCCGAGGTCCAAGTCGATGTCCGTGGTCACTCCAATGGCATCTCCTATGCTCTGGAAAGTCTTGTCTGACCAGAATTCAGTTGGGAGCCCCTCCACTTTTATCCAGAAAGGAATCTCCGAAGGATAGCTGTTTGTCATCCTTGGTTTCCACCGGGCCAGCGAGAGCATATAGTAATCAAAGTGAAACGGCTGCATCGCCAAGACCGCCTCCATATCCCCTTCTTCTTCAAAGTGAAACTGGAATTTCCCAAGGCCTAAATCAGTGCCGACGACTTTATCCTCCATCTTCCAAAACTTGGGAAGCATCACAATCAAAGAGTCGACCTTCTGATCTGCCGGGTTGAAACATCTGCCAATCAAAGTCTTGTCATAACTTTTGATCAACGCAGAATTATCAAAATGTGGAACAGAAATTTTCAATCTCTTTCGGGTCCCCTCACCGTTCTTCATCTCCTCTCCCTTACCCAATAACTGACTTTGAGACATTAAGACAGGATGTGAAAGAAACAGAAACTCCAAAATTTTCAAAACTAAGCAAAACTCTGTATGAAGGATGTAAATCTCCACCCCTCTGCATGTGCTTTTATATACAGAATCGCAACCACCCTCCTTACTCCTCGAATCAGCTCCATTAAAACCATATCTTCCATAGAAACTTAGTGAATCATATATCTCCAGCTCGTAACTTTCCCGTTCCTGACCCATATCTCCATTGGAAATCACATGTTTCCAAAACTCTACCGTCCTATACTGATACCGATCTTGATTTCGGTAAGACCCAAATGCTTCTGTAGGATTCCACCAAATCTCCATTTTCCAAAACCATATCACCATTAAACCCAAAATCCCCAAATCCTCGAAATATCGAAAACTGCACGAAGCAAATCGTTTAACGATCTTGAGGATCGATATCACCAAATCCCGATTTCCAATCTCCAAAATCTCACCAGGATCCCATCCTCGAAACTCCATGGAAACCTAGGTTTCTATCGCCGTCGCCGTCAAGATTTTCGATCACCAATCATTTATGATCGGTATACGACCTCCTGCTACTCCTAAGTCCCACATAAACTTTTAAGATCAAGGTTTTAATTTTTTTTTCTATACTAAAATATAATGATTATAAGACCATATGAAAAAATAATTTTAGTTTATATATATTTCATATCATTTTAATTAAACTAAACATCGTATGAAAATACATACTTATATTTTGATATTTGCCTTGAACATATATTGAAAAGTTAATATTTTAATTTGGAAATATGTCATTGTTTTTTTAAAACGATTATAAATTATTGAAACTACTAAACATCTCACATTAAAAAAAAAAATCGTTGGTGTAAAGTTTCGTTACACAAATATGCAAATAATCATAAAATCATATGAGTAGAAACCTCATTTAATAAATATACATATTAAAAATGTGCTATATTACTATGCTTATATCATTTAAATTGAATTATATATCATATACAATATATAAGATTGATTATTTTGATTTATTTACCCTAATTGTGAATAAACAAGAGTAATAGTTAAATTTATATGTATACGCCAATTTATTACATAATAGTAACTGATTTCTTAGTTATTTAATATATATTTATTATTTTATTATTTATAATATGCAGAAAAATATAAAATAAATAATAAATATAAAATACTTATTGTGCATAAAGTACAGATCTTAACCTAAGTATGTATCTCTTTAATTATTTTAAATCTTAAGTATTTACTAAATTTCAGGTCAAAACAAACAAACGAAATGAGAATAAAATTCAAAATAAATATTTATATCGAGTAATAACCAAAATATAAAAAAAAACATAGCAAGAGAAAAATGGAAGATAGATAGGATTGACACGTGAACGTAAACTTCTCATAACCATAATTAATTTTTAAATTGTTAAATCATGATATAAAACTGAGTTAATTTTTAATTTTTAAAAAAAAAAATAAATCATAATGGTTATGTTAAATCATGACCATAATTAATTTTAAATTGTTTATTTGTATTTGAAAATTTTAAAATATTGTTTTTTAAAATAATTTAAAATTGAACATAATTTTTTATAAAATTATTTTAAAAAATCATAATTTGTAAAAAATATAATTTTCTAATACTATTAGACAAATAAATAAATTATATTAAATTAGTTTTGAAACTTTATATATTTTAAATGCAAATATTTTACCAATTGCGTCTTAAAAAATATTAGGGAACTTGCTAATACTCTACCAATCAAGCCCAGTGACACTCCATTTATTTTCCATCATTCGAACACTTAAAAGTGAAAAGATATATGAAATCAGATCCATTAAATTCTAAGATTTGATCTACATTTCTAATTAAAATTGTTTATGATCCTACGTATAGATAATTATATAAAAATTCCAAAATTCTAAAATTTCAGATACATACAAAATAATCATATGTAAATTTTAAATTTGTCAATACTAAAATTTATTATTTTATTTACATATATTCACCCTGCGCAAGGCGCAGGTCTTATCCTAGTTATATTTAAACTTTTATCACATTTTCTATGGGATTTTGATATCTATGAGGTTTTTATCACATTTATTAATATGTCACTGTCTCCTGTATATTTTTCTTACATTTGTTTTTTTTATAGTTAACTTTTATTAAAAACATACTAATGATGTTAATTTTTTTTTTACTTTAGTTAACTTTCATTTGTTTTATTCTTATATACTTTTGTGACTTTTTAAGTTTTTGTTTCAGTTTAATTTCGAATTTAGTTCACATACTTTATGTGTATATTTTTTTAAACATAATTTTTCTTTTAAAAAATTAAGTGACAAAGAGCCTAATTAAACCGATCCAAAAACAAACCGAACTGAATATAAATTGAACTGGACATAAACCACACCGCAGACTAAATAAGGTTTATTTCAGTTGAAAAAAACATATTAACAAACCAAACCGAAAAAGTAACGATTTGCCCACCCCTACTGCATCCTAGAGATTTGCGCAAATCTTGTCTCAGCATTGAAACTCTCACTTGTTCCACTAACTCCCACATTAGAACTCAATAGATACTCCTGTCTCAGCATTATACTATATTTTTATACCCGCACAGGGTGCGGGCGGGTCACCTAGTTGTAATTAGAACTGTAGATCAAAGCTTAGAATTTAATGGACTCGAATTCATATATCATTTCACTTTTCAGTATTTGAGTGATGCAAAATAAACGGAGTGTTACTTGACTTGATTGTTAGAGTATTAGCAAGTTACATAATGCTTTCGTAAGAAGCAGTTGGTAAAATATTTGCATTTAAAATATATAAAATTTCAAAACCAATTTAATATAATGTATTTATTTGTCTAATAATATTAGAAAAATTTAATTTTAACAATTTTTTTTTGAATAATTTTATAAAAAATTAATTAAATTTATAATTATTTTCAAAAACAATATTTTAAGTTTTTCAAATACAAATAAACAATTTAAAATTAATTATGGCCATCATTTAACATAACCATAATGATTTAAAAAATTAAAAATTTAAAAAATTAACAAATTAAAAAATAACTCAGTTTTATATCATGGTTTAACAATTTAAAAATTAATTATGGTTATGAGAAGTTTACGTTCACGCGTAAATCCTATTTATCTTTATTTTTTTCTCTTGTTGTGTTTTTTATTTATTTTGGTTATTACTCGATATAAATATTTATTTTGAATTTTATTCTCGTTTCGTTTGTTTGATTTGATTTGACCTGAGATTTAGAAAATACTTAAGATTTAAAATAATTAAAGAAATACATACTTAGGTTAAGATCTGCATTTTATGCACAATAAGTATTTTATATTTATTATTTATTTTATATTTTTCTGCATACTGTAAATTAATAAATATATATATTAAATAACTAAGAAATCAGTTACTATTATGTAATAAATTGGCGTATGCATATAAATTTAACTATCACTCTTGTTTATTCGCAATTAGGGTAAATAAATCAAAATAATCAATCTTATATATTGTATATGATATATAACTAAATTTAAATGATATAAAGATAGTATTATAGCACACTTTTGATATGGATATTTATTAAATGAGGTTTCTACTCATAGGATTTTATGATTATTTGTATATTTGTGTAACAAAACTTTACACTGACGAAAGTTTTTTAATGTGAGATGTTTAGTAGTTTCAATAATTTAGAATCATTTAAAAAAAATGACATATTTCAAAATTAAAATATTAACTTTTCAATATATGTTCAATGCAAATATCAAAATATAAGTATGTACTTTCATATGATGTATAGTTTAATTTAAACGATATGAAATATATATAAACTAAAATTATTTCTTCATATGGTCTTATAATCATTATATTTTAATATAGGAAAAACAATTAAAACCTTGATCCTAAAATTTTATGTGAGACTTTTAACAGTTTTAGTAATTTATACTTATTTTAAAAAATTAGAAATACAACATACACAAAAATATAGATTTTTATTATATGATTAGTGTAATTGTGTAATTTATTTTAATAATAAAGAAATAAACAAAATGATAAAAAGTATACAGACTGTTATCAAATCTTTATTGTTTAAGATCATTAATTTTCATATATATATATATATATATATATTTTAATCACATTAGGTAATTCCATAGGTTTTATTTAAGGAAAACATGCGAAACAATAAATATTTGATACATACGACCAACTATAGCCTACGAAATATTATATTGTTAGAAAGTATGATTTTTAGACTATACATTGTATTACATGCTCTAAAATTCTTCTAAATTGAAATAGAAGACAAAGAGCTATGCCACATATGATTGGGGTTATTTTTAATTATTACAAACTTAAGGTTACAACTTTTTAAATGATTCTCTTTTAATATATAGGGGATTCCCAAATAATAACAGCAGAAAAATATGGCCTTCTGCAGTATGTACGACCTAGTTAGGTATTGGCCAGCTTCTCCTTCATCTGGAGTTAACCAAGAGTTTCGTTCAGCTATATTTTGACAGGTTTATCTCCAGTTTCTTCATTAATGGTTTGTTTGATTTGGGTCGCTTTATCGTTGTGACCCTTCTCAAGTATATATATTGTATTTCATCGCCGAACCAGCTGCGTGAACCTGATTCAAAGTGGTTGATTGACGTAATTTCTGCTAACGAGGCAAAATAGGAGCACTAGAGATTGATCAGGTGTTCTTGAGTTTTATGTACATATTATTTTACGATTCTATAGTGTATGATTCTTTCTCTATCTATAGACTGATATACAACCAGAGTGCACAGCTATTTTAAATCAACTAATGCTGCTGCTATGGTTGTGGATGTAAGCTCTGGGAGATGAAGGTTAAGTTTCTAGGAGATAGCAAGATTGACAAGTTCAACAACTCCTCGGTTTTCAGATCTCGTATGAGCCTTTGGATGATTCGTGCTATTACCATATTGTTGCTATGGAGTTGTTTTGTTCATTTTGGTGGCAGTGGGGGGGGGATGTGGGGACCTATATTGTTGAAAGGATAACCTTCTTGTTTCATCAGTCACCATGATCTCCTAATGGCTGCACTAGAAATGACTTCTCTTCCCATGTAAATCGCCCTCCCTCCTAAAAGTAAGAAAACATGTTTTCTTTCTGGTTTATGTAGCTTTGACTGCTGCAACACTGGTGGAATGTTTTAGATTTTTTTATTAATTTTGTGTGGTCATTGTTTTGACTCAGGGATATATCAGAACAATGGCTATCTTATGGTTTCTTGCAATGGAGGGCTCAACCAAATGCGAGCAGCGGTAAGGATCATAGATGTCTACATGAATGTCACACTTATTGTACCAGAGCTTGACAAGACCTCTTTTTTGAATGATCCAAGGTACATCTCATTCAGAGCTTTTTCTGATTTCTTCTTTTACTTAGGTAACATCTCTTAAAAGATGTTGATCGGATTCTCATGTTGGCAGTGAGTTCAAAGACATATCGATGTGGATCACTTCATAACTTCTCTAAGGGATGAGGTTCGTATACTCAAAGAGCTTCCTCCAAGGCTTAAGAGAAGGGTTGAGCTCGGTGTGTACCACACTATGCCTCATGTTAGCTGGTCCAACATGTCCTACTACCAAGACCAGATTCTTTCCCTGGTGAAGAAGCACAAGGTCTTACAACTGAACAAGACCGATACTCGACTAGCGAATAACGAACTTCCTGTTGAGGTTCATAAGCTGAGATGCAGAGTAAATTTGAACGGGCTTAGGTTTACTCCAAAGATTGAGGAACTAGGTAGATGAGTAGTCAAGATTCTGAGGGAGAAAGGTCCCTTTCTGGTTCTGCATCTCAGATACGAAATGGACATGCTGGCATTCTCTGGTTGCTCACATGGTTGCAACTGCTACGAAGAGGAAGAACTCACAAGAATGAGGTTAAAAGGAAAACATTTCTTTCTTATGTTAAAGGTTCACACTCTTATTATCTCCCGTTGATATTGATGTTATTCATTGCTTAGATATGCTTATCAGTGGTGGAAAGATAAAGTAATAAACTCAAGCTGAAGAGGAAAGGTCTTTACCCAATGACTCCAGAAGAAACAGCGCTGACACTATCTGCCTTAGGCATTGACCGTAATGTTCAGATTTACATAGCTGCTGGAGAGATATACGGTGGTCTAAGACGGTTAAAGGCTTTAACAGATGTATTTCCTAATGTGGTTAGTAGCTTATTGTTTAAAATACTCACTCATAATGTTAGTAACTGATACACTTCTGATATAAAAAAAAACAGGTTAGAAAAGAAAATTTGGCTGGATTCCTCTGATTTGAGTTTTTGTAAGAACCATTCTTCTCAAATGGCTGCTCTTGAATACCTCATCTCTCTTGAAAGTGATATATTCGTTTCTACTTATTATGGGAACATGGCCAAAGTTGTGGAAGGTCATCGCAGGTGAGTCATTCATTGGCTGTAATCTAAAGAAAATATTGGTTGCTCACATGGTTGTAAACTCTATTTATTAGATAATGATTTTCATAATTTTATAAGGAAATTCTCTATGATGACATTAAAAAAGGTTTTATCATAAATATAGCATATAAAGGTAAAAATAATCAAAAAAATTTTGTTAAAAAGATAAATAGAAATTTATACATATAGATCAAAAATATAGAATTAGAGTTTAGATTTGATGGGTGGTGTTGAGAAAATGGTCGAATTTATGATCTCAAGAAGAATTTTTTTTTAAAAAAAAATTAAAAAAAATCGAATTCAAAAATATATTATTCAAAAATAATAAATTTATTGTTTATTTAAATAATTATTTATATTTATATATCTATAAAGCTAGGATAGAAATGTCTTTCACCTTTTTATGAAACATATTTTAGTCATTTTTCTTTTTGGTATGCTCTTTAAATAAATAAATCAACTATTTTACTATCCTTAAATGGAATTTATCAATTTATAAACAACTTCCTGACATTATCTGAACTGTCTATATATTTTAAACTCAATTTTGGTATTTTAGCAAATTAATAAAAAGATTTTTGTTACAAAAAGCGAGAAAAAATATACTCAATATTCAAACACCATATATAGAGCATCTCTCCCCCTTTATATTAAATCCTAAACACTACATAGTTTATATACACATGAAAATTATACTGTAACACAAGAAAATTAGTATGAAATTTAATAGATAATTGTCCGCGCGTAGCTCGGAGAAACGACCTAGTTATTTATAAATACAGAGCTTCAGGTCGACTAATCCCCTATATATTAATTGAGAAACATTTGAAAAGTTGCAACCTTAAGTTTGTATTAATTAAAAAGTAACCACATCTTACGTGGCACCTCTCTATGCCTTCTATTTCAATTTAGAAGGATTCTAGAGCACCTCATATAAAATATTGTTTTAAAACAAGGTCCGTTGATCTTATATAAGACATACCAAACTAAATAACATATCAGACTAAATCTCCTATATATTCTTTTCTTAAATAAAACCTACGGAATTACCTAATGTGATTAAAATATATATGGCTATTAATGATTTTAAATAATAAAGATTTGTTAACAATCTTTATACTTCATATCATTTTTTGTTTATTTTTTATTATTAAAATAAATTACACAGCTACACTAATCATATAATAAAAAATAGTTTTTTTTTAAGTATGTTGTATTTTGAAATTTCCAAAACGAGTATAAATTACTAAAACTGTTAAAAATCTCACATAAACTTTTGTGATCAAGGTCTAATTTTTTTTATAATAAGTTACAATGATTATAAAATCATATGAATAAATAATTTTATTTTAATAGGTGTTTATGTTAATATATATATATATATATATCATATCGTATGAATAAATAATATTATTGTAAATATAATTATAATTTACAATTTAACTTATTTTTTTATAAAATTATTTTTATTAAACAAAATTAAAATATAATTTTCTGATATTATTAGACAGATAAATAAATTATATCAAATTAATTTTGAAACTTTATATATTCTAAATGGAAATAGTCTACCAACTGTTTCTTAAGAAAGTATTAGGAAACTTGATAGTGCTCTACCAATTAAACCATGTGACACTCCGTTTATTTTCTATCACTCGAACACTGAAAAGTGAATATATATATGAACCGTGCCAGTTAAATTCTAAGTTTTGATCTACAATTCTAATTACAATTGTTTCTGATCCTACGTATAGATAATTATATAAAAACTCCAAAATTACAAATACATATAAAGACAATCATATGTAAATTTTAAATTTATCATTACTAAGATTTTATATTTTAATTACATACACTGTTTTATCCTATTCTTTTCTTATTTTTGCATTTAATTTCAACGCCCATTTTGAGAGAGAAAAGTTAAGAGTCCAATATTATCTAAGTGGCCCGTTAATTTGTCTTAGGGCCTGAATGCACTCTATTCTTTTTATTTGTTGGAGGTGGTATTCCTTCCATGGCCTGCTTTCATTTACATAAATTCTCTATATATTAATTGAATAGTCATTTAATTAACTTTTGATGACATGTGGCTTATATAAGAGTTTTCATTAAAATTGTCTTAATTTGATTGGTCATTTATTTTAATCCTCTTTTTATTTTAATCTCTTCTAAAAAATAATTCTAGAATCACATAAGGTACATTTCTAAACAACTCAAATAATATTACACATTAAAACCGATGGTCCCTCATCGATGGTAGAGAATCTGCCAAAGTAAGAGATTGATGAAGTTTCATATATATCATAAATTTCTTTATACATTTGTAGTGATTACGTGATAAATTTAAGGGTTTTGAGAAGATAAGTTCCTATAAAGATTTTATTTGAGAAAACTATTTTCTGAAACGAATGACTTTAAAACAAAACTATTTTTAAGAAATTGGTATGAATATTTTGTTTTGTTTCATTTGAATTTCCAACAGTTAGTTCTGTTTATACAAGTTTAGTTGGTTTAATCATTAAATTTTTCTGATCACAAATTTTATATGAAATTACGTTTTCAGTATTGTATAGAACTAGATGACCAAAGCGTAGGAATAAGAGACTTATAAAATAATATCGTCTTTATTGTTGTCAAAAACGGATTTAGAAATCATATTTTTCTTGATAAAAATGAATAGAAGAAGATGAAGACATTTATTTCTTTTGAAGGAAGAAGACAATTCAAGATTCTTAAATTATTTTGAAAATGAAATCTAAAAATATAAAGATAAATTTATTATAAGACCAGTTATGGTTCAACGTTAGTAGACAAGTTTCAAATATTTCAAATTTCCATAATTATTATATATTTGGCGTCGACTTATGTCCAATGTTTCACTTCTCCATACTTTACTCTTTGTGAGACTTCTTTTCAGAAAGATACAAATTTAAGATTTTGAAAATCAGACTCAAATTGTTATACTAAATGGCAATACTTAAAGAGATAGTTTGATATATATATATAGTTTTCTGATAAATATATATCCAGAACAGAATTTAGTTATGGCTTGGGATGGAGTCTTAAAGTGGTGTCTTAATCGAGATCACCCACATGGTCTCCAAACAAAGAAGAGGGGATTGAGACCAAGGATAACTTCAGTCCAACTAAAGGAGTTCTTGCCATCATGTAGGCTACGGTCCGAAGAATGAGCCTCAATGAGATACAAGAAAATAATGTAGATTATTTTTTCATGTGATACCAAATGGCACCCGAGACACTAATGAAAGTTACAAATCATGTTGGTTGAGGACGAATTAGTCGAGGATGGAGGAGCTTGCAAGGCTGACAATAGAAACAACAGACCTATCACTAAACTCTTTTGGGTTCTGCATCTAAAGGAAGAGTTACAGATATTGATTTATTCGAGAGTCGTGTTTACAATGTGTCGGGTACGTTTTGACTAGTCCAAACAAATTTAAGGTTGTTACCTAGAAATCCAAGGCATCACCATTCATTATGACTTAATGGCAATCAAATTGGTAAGTATCAATGTGATTTTAGGATGCGAGTGGTTGGAGATACTCGCAAAAGAAAGTACTAATTGTGATTTTACATCTTCTTAAAACTTTATGTGGTACATAATTCATGTTCCCCTTATATGTGTTTGTATCTAAACAAAATTATTTATATCGCGGTAGAAGGATTTTTAATAGATCTAAACCTGAAATATCTGAAGAAATTAAGTTATTCTGTTCAATGAAACTATCAAAAATAAATGAAATAAAATATTATTGAGCTAAGAACAGAGTCATTAACCGATGTCACAATCGCGACCACCCATATGGTCCCAGAACAGAGGAAAAGAGAGCTGGAACATGTTGACATGAAGACTGATAAGGAGGATGAAAATGAGGAATAAAGATGGAGAGACTTGAGGAATTATCTCGGATCGATCAAGAGAAGGAAAAGAGTTGGTCCGTACAGTAAGGGTTTATTCGACCTAAACCTATTTTCAGAGGAAAGCTACCCATCTGCCTTATTCCAGAGACAATAAGAAGGCTTATTTAAATAGAATTTTTGTCTACAAGAGGAGGAGAGAGCCGTTGGGAAGCTTGACCAGAAGAATCACATGTTGGGTTAAGTTTAAATTAAACAATGGACATGTCCTTTCAATTGGTCTGGACTAGATCCATTAGTCATCTACCAGCCTTATTTTATTCCCCAAGTTCATCTTGCCTTGTCTAATTATATGATGTACTTAGGATTCATTTTAATCGAGGAAATTGTTCCTTCTCTTATTCTCTTGTACCAAATGAATCTCTCTCTCTCCTCAATTTTTCATCATGTTCTT